AACTCTCGTTAGGTGAAATAGATTAGTGAAATGTGTATCAAAGGCACGGGTGTTGTTACCGGCTAGTTAGCGAGCTAAGCCGTAAGATAGTGTTATTTTCGTATGCGAGTATTTCTCGTTCTTAAACAAAATGTCCTTCAAGGTGTTCCATGTTTCTGATTGCAGTTGGACTTGGCAAGCATGATGACAGATCTGACTGGTTGCTCACCCGGCTACATAGGACTGGGTGTTCAGTTGTGCATCTTGTCGGTCGTCCACAAGGTTCTCCGCGATCTCAGTGGCGCTGTCATAATCATCTGTTGAGGCGTCAGTGGGGACTTTGAAGCCAAACTTGGATAGGTCATCCAGTTTACTTTGAAGCAATGTAATTACTCAAGTTTGTTCGGTTTTCAGGAAACAGAAAAAAATGTTCCACCACTTCGAAAAAACTTGTTTTTGGAGTGGTGTGCAGCACATGAGATGCCTGTCATCTCCAAGTATGCGCTGGTGTACGCCCGAAGACAGCCGGTTGATCAACAAACGATGACGCATTGCCACACGGGACCACATACTCAAATAAAATCCGAATAGACATGTACTACGAGCTATACACTTTCTAATATATTAAGTATCAAAAAGTACATATAAAAATTTTGGTTTCAAAATTCAATCGAAGGCGAACATAGGAGATTATCACAGACGATCACTGGAAAACGACAACAACAACAAAGTTGCATACGGCCCTCCAAAGGTCTGGGCATAGCGGAGCAGACAAACCGGTGGTAGTAAGCGACGAAGCGAAGGAAAGAAAGTAAAAACTAAGCCAAACAAGACAAAAACGGCTAGGAGCGCTCTGCTTTGCTTGAAACGTGAGCTGTGTATCTACGAGGGAACGCAAACTAAATGATGTAGAAAACTGCACCGGGCACTGATGGCTATTCTCTCGGGTCACGTGACATGACGTTGAAATGTAGTTTTTCTCAATGCAGCTCGAACTACGCACGTGAAACGATGCAGTTAAAGATGACGTCAAACTTTTTGCACGATGCACTTTGACGATGCAGTTCTATTGTACCAGGGTGCTGACGCACCCTGGTACAATCGAAAGCTGAAAAGACTGTCCAACAAAAAGAGAAGATTGTTCCGTGCCGCTAAACACGTTTCATCTGAATTGCGTTGGCAGGCGTATCACGATATTGCTGACGAGTATGCCAAAACAGTAAAAAATGCAAAACAAATTTTCTTTAACCATACGCTTCCATCCATGCTTCTTAATAACCCTAAACGATTTTGGAATATTGTCAGCAATAGCGTAACCAAAAATATATCTCTTACTTCTTCTGATGGGATAATTGCGGAACCTGCCCAGTGTGCTTCTGTGTTGAATGATGTCTTTGTTAGATCATTCTCAGCTCTTAGTAACACTTATGTGCCTCCTCTAACTTCTCGGAATTTTTTACCAATGGACCCTATCTTCATTGATGTCATAGGAGTATCTAAGGTAATAGATGTGTTGAAGTGTTCATCAGCCGCAGGTGTTGACGGTATTAACTCTAAATTTCTAAAAAGCACTAAAATGTATTCGGCCATCATTCTTTCTAAACTATTCTCCCAATCACTTGAGTCAGGGTCCATACCTGATGATTGGAAGACAGGGTAGGTGGTACCGTTGCATAAATCAGGTGACAGCCATGACTTATTCAACTACCGTCCCATCTCTCTAACGAGTGTTCCTTGGAAAGTCCTCGAACATATCATCTGCTCCCATTTAGTGTCTTTCCTTGAATCAAATAGTTTCTTCTCGTCCGCTCAACATGGCTTCAGAAGGCCATTTTCATGCGATACTCAATTATTGTCTTTCACTCATGAGCTCCACTCCTTCCTTGATAACGGCTCTAGCACTGACTGTGTTTTCTTAGATTTTTCAAAAGCCTTCGATAAAGTATCCCATAAGCTACTAATCCATAAGCTTCGCACTCTAAACATTGACCCTCATGTGCTTGATTGGATTATCGCCTTTCTATCTCATCGGGTCCAGTTCGTCAACGTAAATAATAATAATTCTCATTTGGTGCCTGTCGATTCCGGTGTACCGCAAGGTTCTGTAATTGGTCCCCTGTTGTTTCTAATTTATAGTAATGATCTTGTAACTAATATTTCCTCGCCGATCTGCTTGTTCGCTGACGACTGTGTCCTTTTCCGCAATATGACTGACCATTCTGATGTAATTCATTTGCAATCTGATCTTGACGTCATAGCTCTCTGGTGCAACTCTTGGCAAATGGAACTTAACACTAATAAATGTAAGTCAATGAGAGTATCCCGCTCTAACAGTTTATGTCCTACTTATAGCATTAACAATAAATCCCTTGAGTCTGTTACATGTTATAAATACCTTGGAGTCCATATAACCTCTGACCTTACCTGAAATACACACGTCTAGTATGTTGTAAGTAATGCTAACCGCACGTTGGGTTACATAAAGCGAAACTTTTTTCAAGCCCCTTCTTTTCTGAAACTAACCTTATACAAGTCCTTAGTCCGTCCTAAATTAGAATATGCGTCATCCATATGGGACCCTGGTCACCAAGGTCTTATCAGCAGATTAGAAGCTGCACAAAACCGAGCCGTTCGTTTCATATTATCTAACTATCATCGTACAGCCAGTGTAACATCAATGAAATTAACTTTGTCACTTCCCAGTTTGTCGTCTCGGCGCAAAACAGCTCGTTTATGCCTGTTTCACAAAATTTATCATCACATCCCATCTCTCCGTTTGAAACTAATGCTCGAGCCCTCTTACCGTTCATCCCGTCTCGACCATATTCACAAGGTAGGCATACCTAATTTTAACACCTTCAAATTCAGCACCTCGTTCATACCTCGCACATCGACTGACTGGAACCACCTTCCCGCTTCTATTGCAGATATTAAAGATATTTCACTCTTCAAGCAATCACTTATTAACAGCACCCTTGGTTGATTAATTACGTTTATTTATTGTTTGCTCACTCCCCTCTAAAATGTACTCTGTACCTTGAGGGTAAATAAATAAATAAATAAATAAATAAACTGAGTGGTCGAGACGAAGCCGGAGATCGCTCTGCCTCGTAAAAGATGGCGACCCTAACATATGCCTCTCTACTGTTGGGTTCGCCAGCGGATCGAGTTTTTAGAGGTCACAGGGATGCCTTCGAGACGAGCGATGCCAGGTTTGTGGGCGAATACCGGCTGACCAAAGGGGTGACTCGCTGGCTGTCCGACCAGCTCCTCCGAAAGCTCCAGCGGCGTCGTGAAGGGCCCCGTTTGCTGACGGTCGAACAACAAGTCCTCGCAGCTCCACGCTTTAACGCCGCTGGCGGCTTCCAGGGAACCCTCAGGAGCGACAAAAACAATGGTGTTCACCAGTACTCTGTGAGTCGTGTACTTTGTGATGTCACCAACGCTATCATCGATTGCCTCGGATCGAACTGTCTGTGTTTCCAGCAAACTGAAGCAGAGAAAGTGCTCACAGAAGAAAGTTCTTCGAGCGATGCAAGTTCAGTGGCGTGATCGATAAATATTCCAAATACTCTTACATGATTCAACACGATTGGGTTTTCATTTGAGTGCACCCCATATAAGCGATATGGCTGAGCAAAAAGCCAAGCAACGGTAAGACGCTTAAGTTGAGCTAGTTGGTCCATACTTCAAGTAGAGGGTGAGAGAGAGAGAAAGAGAGAGATTTTATTTTAAAGCAACTACTTCAGGTACGGCCAGCTGAACTACAATGAACATACACATAAAGAAAATACCATAAACATCGTGGGACTAACAACTGATTTTCTGTTTCCTCTAGTTCTACTACGAGCCAAATTTGAGGTAAATATTCTCTTTTCTTTCTTTTTGCATCGTACTTCACCGAAACTTTAACCCCCAAAGAAACCTCTTTTCTTTCTCGTACAGCCCGAAATTAATTGCATTAACGCAGTAAAAAAAAGTAAAAAAATGCAAATTTGTCGTTAGTCGTTAATACCTGAACATGGCAACATTGTTACCCACTGCAGGTAAGAAATTTAGCCAGTGCAGTACGACTGCTAGCCTGGGGCTTTTATCGTGAACCACGCAGAAGTGATACACGGCCAAGCAGCCCACGCATCCAAACCCCGTGCTGTGGCGTGGCACACACGAGTATTCCAGTGGCCCTTTCATTCTGCTCGCGTTTTGATGAACGGGCCTTGGGCGTTCAGCTCGTCCGAAATTCTGTCCCACATCTCGTCCCTCTCAAGTTTGGTCAGAGGACTGTCAGTGGCGGCCCGCACGAAAACTTAGTTTTCTCTCAAAAAGTAGTTCATCAGGCTAATCTGGTGGACCGACACGCGAGCACTTCAGCTTCTTCTTGTTGTCGGACATGACTGCCCAGCTGCGCAACGTAAAGGGCTGCAGCTAATTCTAATAATTTTTGTGTTACTTAAGTAAACTATATATTTCACGCGACAAATTTCAACAAAAAATAGTTTAGTTAAATTGCTGTGCACCATACGTTTTGGATACTTAACAGTATTGCTTTCTAGAAGCCTTCACTGCTGAGTTTTGCGATTATTCAAAATTTCCTGTAGGGAGAAAAATAACAATCTAGTTTCAACTCAATCACTACAGTTCGGCGACGTCACCGGACACGTCACGGTGCAGTTCTCTCCCGATGTAGTTTGTTGGCGATGGAGATTAGGCTCCTCCCACCAGTGACGTCACGATGCAGCTTCTCCACCCTTTTTCCAGCATAGACAGACTGGTTTATAAGGTGTGCATAGGCACTCAAATGTGGCATCCGGTGAATGCCCCCTGTTGAACCTCGTCCTTTCGAAAAAAGCTCGAAGATTCCACTGCAAATAAATTGCTCTTGGCGTCTAATTTTTTTTTTTCATTTTATGAGCGCACTTGCATTCTTTTTATAGATTTCTTTGTATAAAATGTATTGACGGGAAATTTTTACGCAGAAGGAAGGAGGCACCTGTTAATTGCTCAGTTTATTCAACAGGTACATGGCACGAAGTTTTGTGTGTGTGCTCTTCCTTCTCCTCTTCTTGGTGAGTGTAAAACTGAGTAAACTTTTACGCGCCCGGTACTAATTTTTTTTTTTAGTCTATGCTAGAGCCACTAGACAAGATTCGCTTTGGAGTGACCACACTTCAGCAATCTTGGTGCTCAGAAAACCTTGTTGATGCTTAACTGAAACTCTATTCGAAATCTCTAAAAACGCCTTTTCGTTCACAAGAATGTACTATAGCGATGACCTTCTGTGTTCCCAGAAATATTAAAGAAGGAAGAAGCATAATTTATTTCTGCAAATTTAGTAAGTTGAGAAATAGTGTCACATCCGTGTGTTTCACACGGATTTGACTCTATCACTCAATTCGCCTGTCTTGACCTGGTGCAGTGATAAGCAAATACAATCTTCTCTGTCAAACTCAAAATGCGCGCGATGCTTCCGTCATGTGTTCGAATATTAATTTCAGCTTTTTTTCTCTCTGCAGTATTCCGTTCATCACAGTAAGTACGCTCCATTCAGGCACTTTACAAATATTTTATCGTTTATTAATGTTATAACATTTGTTACTGTTTAGTTCAGTCAATAAACCTATTTCTCTCGGCCAGGGGGCGCTGTAGCGTTCATGAGACGCGACCGCAAAAGAGGACCTTTCGCTAGCGTTCGCGAGACGCGACCATGTAATGCTGACGTGAAGCGGCGTCCTAGCGTCCCGTCATGCACTTTCCACCTGCGTAAACTGGCGTCTGTCAGCGTCCCTCTGCGTCTGCTCACGTTTCACGCGCACTACAGAGAAAACGTGACCTAAAAATTCCCCATGCTGCTCGCCAGGACTGTTGTTCAAAACTTGAGAGCTACAGGTCTATACCACCTAGAAGACAAGGCCTGGGCCTTTTCCCCCACACGTCATCAGTAGCGGCTGCACGCAGCGTATCTCCTAGCTTGAGTGAGCTTCGCCGTCAGCGCGTCTCCCTGCATCTCACAACGAGCACGACGCTGGAACGTGGCGAAGCCAGGCTGGACGCGTCTGCTGCTTTGCTGCGACTCTCGTAAAGCATCGGCGTGTTTGCCTCTTGGAGTGGGTTTTGAATCCACGAATGATGACGTCATGGACAGGCCCCGTCTTCTAGGTGGCATTGGCTTAATTAACTACCAGTTGAGTGGACGGATTTTTGTTTCTAAACACGGTGTCACTGGGCTAGGGAGATAGAAGGCTAAAGAGGTCGCAGTTAAGGGCCTCACCTGCGAGAGCGAGGGAACGGGACCCACTTATTCTAACGTGCTTAATAAATGTATAAAATCTCCTATGATGAAGCTTGTATCGCCACTTATGCAGCTGTTATAACTGCTGCAGGTTTCGGGACGAGTGCATATTGTTAAAAGTTCAATGTATTCTCAGAGTCGGAAGGAAACATTTTCCTTTACGAAAGGAAATACGAAAGTGAGGAACGCTTTACAAGAGAAAGGTTCGGGCAGATTTACAAGCGCCACTTGGAAATCTGTCTGAAGTCCAGGGCACTGTTCCTTTTTACTGTACAGTACATACCATTTTTGATTCCGAACCGCAGAACTTTCTCACCACGCACGACCTTTTTGAATGAAAGAGATAAAATGAAAAGCTCCACGTACATAAAAACACTGCCGAGCATCGACACTCCGTCGCGATATTGCTGGACCACAATAGTTTCCCGCCAATATTTTTTATTTTCTTTATAAAAACAGGGAGAGCGCTGGTGCTTATCAAATTAGGGCCTCTATAATTGTTAAACCGGCTCTGGAAGAACCCTTGTTGTTAACGTCGAGGGCGCAGTGCTCAAAAACTGAATAAGAGGAATCTATAGTGGTGACGCACGGAATTGTGAAAGGGAGGTTTCCAATCGTGTCAGGTAAAGAAGCGAAAGATTAAGACAATGTTATGTCTGAGATCTTTGTATAGGTGCTGCTTACGCACGTGGCAACCTTACATTTTTTCTTTTCTTTTTTCACGTGGCAGTTACATTGTTTATGCATCTCACAAAAACAAAAGTCACTGTGATCGCTGCAGGCATGTTGACATAATTATCTGCGAACACACTTCAAGAACACCTGCGGGCGATATTGTCACGAATGACAATTGATGAGGCGATCATAAGGGAACAGACGAAAACAACAGAGCGTCGCGGGCGTCGATGTCGGCGAAACAGCAGGATCGAGCGCTGGGGCGAGACTGGCTCCGGTATGCCACGCGGAGCCCCTTTTGTACACGCGTGGGCTTCTGGAATATTCGGCCTTGAACGTTCGGCTCGTAGAACATTCGTAACTGGATCAGAGGAGAAGGATCTCGAACTTAAGAGAACGCCATGTAGAAATAATAAATAAAAAAATATTCCGCTTCCTGGAAACGAACTCGGATCTTTCGCGCGACAGTAAAGCACGCGCTAACTCGGCAACGCGCGTGGCATAACTCCCCCCTTTTAAAAGCGCATCGCTTCGATGCGACATGCCGGGAAACAAAACATAAAAACAAACAAAATAATGGTAAACTACGTAAACTTGTGAAATGAAGTCCTATCGAGCGTAGCACAAAACACGATTCACAGTCCTATTGATTGTAGTACGGCTTGAGGCGCATGACGTGGACCGGTCATGGAGTGCGGCGTGATGAGGTCGTTATTCCGTCGGGTATCACCTTGTAGTTCAGATCCCAGAGTAGACGAAGCACTTTGTAGGGTCAGAAGTACCGTTCCAGGAGTTTCTCGCTTAGGCCGCGTCGTCGTATCGGGGTCCAGACCCACACACGGTCTCCGGGCTTGAAGCGAACTTCGATCCGACGAAAGTTGTACCGGGCGAAGTCGACACGTTGTTGATCTTGAATCCGGAGTCGGGCGAGCTGGCGAACTTCTTCAACTCGTTGAGCCTCCACATAGGCGTCGTGGCTCCCATCGTCAGCAGGTTCGTGGGGCAGCATCGCGTCGAGCATCGTCGTTACTTTTCTACCATGCACCGGCTGGAACGGTGTTACTCCTGTGGTCTCTTGCTCCGCCGTGTTGTAAGCAAACGTGACGTAGGTTAACACCTCGTCCCACGCCTTGTGCTCAACGTCGACATACCTGGAGATCATGTCGGCGATAGCTTTGTATAGTCGTTCCGTTAGTCCATTTGTCTGTGGATGGTACGCAGTGGTTCGACGGTGGCCGGTGCTACTGAGACGAGGAATTTCTTGCGTCAGCTGAGCCATGAACGATAATACACGGTCTGTAAGGAGGACTTCAGGGGCGTCGTGCCGGAGGACAATACACTCGATGAAAAACTTGGCAACTTCCACAGCAGTCACTAAAGGAAGGACTTTCGTTTCGGCGTATCGCGTGAGATTGTCTGTGACGACGATTACCCATGGGTTTACCAAAGTTGACGATTCAAAAAGGGCCAAATAAATCCATTCCGACCTGCTGGAACGGCGTGGATGGGAGAGCTATCGGATGCCAAAGTCCTGACGGCATCGTCGGTGGTTTCTTGCGTCGCTGAAACTCGTGGCATGATCGAGTGTAGAGATGAACGGTCTTAGGTAGCCTTGGCCAGTAGTATTTTTTCCCGAATCCTGGCGAGCGTCCTGCTGTAGCCAAGGTGCCCAGCCGTTGGGTCGTCGTGGCAGGCTTGGAAGATCTCCTCTCTAAGGTCGGCAGGGATTACCAGCAGCCATGGCGAGCTGTTGTCTCCGAAGTTCCCCTTGTAGAGTGCACCTTGTCGAATGAAGAAGGTTGGCAGGGCTCTAGAGAAGACACGGGGGATAGTACCCCTCGACCTTCGAGGTGCAGGATCAGCGCGCGCAACTCAGGATCGTCTCTTTGACGTCGCGAATGTCGTCGGTGTTCACTGCGCCTAGGAAGCATTCGTCGTAATCGTCGTCGCTACTAGCGGGATATGTCTCAACGGGAGCTCTGGACAGGCAATCGGCGTCGCTGTGCTTGAAGCCTGACTTGTAGACCACAGTCATGTTTAACTCCTGTAGTCGGAAACTCCATCGAGCGAGACGTCCTGGCGGGTCCCTTAGGTTCGCAAGCGAGCACAGTGAGTGGTGGTCTGTGATAACGCGAAAAGGGCTTCCGTATATGTACGGGCGAAACTTCGTGATTCCCCAAACGACCGCAAGACATTCCTTCTCACTCGTGGAGTAGTTTCTCTTCGCCTTGGACAGCGTTCGACTTGCGTAGGCGATGACCCGCTCGGTGCCTTCTTGCGCTTGAATCATTACCGCGCCAAGTCCATTGTTGCTTGGTTCTGTATGAATCTCGGTTTCCGTATCTTAATCGAAGTGTCCAAGAACAGGAGGGGTCTGGAGTCGTTGCTTCAGCTCGTCGAACGCGTGCTGCTGCTCCTCGGTTCATTCGAACGTCTCGGCGTCGTTGGCGAGTTTAGTGAGCGATACGGAAATTCTTGCGAAATCCCACATAAAGCGTCGATAGTAGACATAAAGTCCAAGGAATCTTCGCACAGCCTTCTTGTCTCTCAGGGAAGGAAATGCCGCGACGGCGCGAGTCTTTTCGGGGTGTGGACGGACGCCTTTGCTACTAACCACGGTACCTAGGAGTTTCAGTAAGTCATAGCCGAACCGGCACTTTGACGGCTTGAGGGTGAGTCCGGCGGTCTTTATGGCTTGTTGAACAGCTCAAGGTCGTCGGAAGTGCTCTTCGAAGTCACTTGAAAACCCTACGACGTCGTCAAGGTAGACGAGACAGCTCTGCCACTTCAGCCCTGCCAGTACAGTGTCCATGACACGCTGGAAAGTTGCTGGCACCGTGCATTGTCCGAAAAGCATCACCTTCAACTTGTACAATCCATCCGGCGTGTCAAAAGCTGTCTTCTCCCGGTCCCGTTCGTCGACTTCGATCTGTCAGTAGCCGCACTTCAGGTCCATCGATGAAAAATATCGAGAGTGGCGCAGCCGGTGTACCGTGTCATCGATGCGGGGGAGTTGATAGACCTCTTTTTTTGTTACGGCGTTCAGCTGCCGGTAGTCCACGCAGAACCTAAGCGTTCTGTCATTCTCCTTAACCAGCACGACTGGAGAGGCCCACGGACTTCTTGAAGGCTGGATTATGTTGTCGTTCAGCATTTCTTGCACTTGCTCTCGGATGACCTTCTTTCTTTTAGGGAGACTCGGTACGGCGATCGGTGCACAGGGAGCGCGTCGTCTTCGGTAACGATGCGATGTTTCTTAACGGCGGTTTGGCGCACCCTCGACGACGTCACGAAGTAGTCGATGTATTCGGCGAGGAGGTCACTCAGCTGCCGTCGTTTCGGGCCTGGAAGCTTGGGGGCCTGGAAGCTTGTCGAGCTGCGGTGGTGGCGTAGTGTCTTACTGAGGTGGGGATGATATTCAGCAATCACGGCGATTTCGGCGGAGTTCCGAACTTCCTCGACGTGGCCCACAGCGGCACCTTTTCTGAGACATTGCGTTTCTTGTCGGAAGTTCGCCACGGGGACCACGGCACGCCCATCCTGAAGTTCAGCCGTGGCATGCGACGCCTATTCCTCTTCCCAGGAGCAATTAAAGGTTGCCTTCGAGAACAACTTCGCCGCAGGTCGCTTCATCGGTCACGACGAGTACGACAACACTTGATCGCGGACGCAGGTTCACGTGGTCGGCAGCGACTCGGACGGCGGCTGACGCTGTTCGGGCTTTCTCTGAAAGGGGAGGGGAACAGGCTTGCGCAGCGTCAATCTATTCTCACCAAGGTCGACGACGGTGCCGTATTATAACAGAAAGTCCATGCCGAGGATGACTTCTCTGGAACAGTCTTGTAGAATCACGGACTTCACGGGGCACGTCTCACCGTGGATCTCGACGCGAGCAGTGCATCTCTCGACTGGTGCAATGAGGTGTCCTCCGCCGGTTCGCATTTGAGGTCCATCTCACAGCGTCATGACTTTTCGAAGGCGGCAAGAGAACCTCCTACTCATACCTGAGTAGCCTGCTCCGGTGTCCACAAGCGCCGCTGCGTCGTGGCCGTCGATGACGGCGTTTAGGTTGTTGGACGCTGTTTCTGGCGCGTCGTTGTGATGCGTTGCGAGAGAGTGGGAGCGCTACGGCGTTCTTGGAGGCTCTTTACTTCGGTCGTGTTCGGCAACGCCACCTCCAGGCGTTGCCGCACTTAGTTTTCCCGACGAGACAGGGGGGACCGGCTGTCACGGCGCGACCGACGGAAAGCCGATGCGGAACGCCTGGCTGTTGGCGCTGGTGACGGAGGGCGACGGAGGTATTCTTCGATGGCTGTTGGTCGTTCTCCAAAGCGAGGTCGACGGTCGTTTGGCGCGAATCCTCGCAGGCCGAGCTGGCGGTACACGTGGTCAGCCTCCTCGCAGTGGACGCACACCGGGCGTCTGTCATCCGTGCGCCACACGTCGGTCTTTCGGTGTCCACGCTGCTCTTGGCGCGTAGCGTACCGCGGCGAAGAGAGCTCTCATCGGGGTGCAGCTGAGTACTGCCGGGTGACAGGAGGCTGCGGATGACGAACAACTGCGTCGTAGGTTAAAGCTGGTGGTTCCGGTGTGGCTTCGGCGAGAACCTCTGGCTGGAGCGCTTGCTGGACCACTTCTCGAACAATCTTGGCGAGCGAGAGTGAAGCTGGACGTTCTGCGACAGGTACCAGCTTCTTCAGCTCTTCACGGAAGATGTACCGGACAATTTCTCGTATCCCCGGAATATTGGGGCTGAGGGCGCAGCTTGATGGCGTGGGTGCAGCGACGCCAGGCACTCGATGGAAGTGAGCGGCTCGTGCTTGCAGGGCCCGTTCAATATTGGTCGCCTCTGTTACAAACGTTTCGACGGTTGTAGGTGGACATCGCCCCAAGCCCCCGAAGATGCTCTCCTTCATACCTCGCACCAGGAGTCTCAGTTTCTTTGCTTCGGAGGCTTGAAGGTCGGCGCGGTTGCTGAATCGAAGAACATCTTCGACAAAGCTAATGACGCTCTCGTTAGGGCCTTGGATCTTCACTTGAACAAGCTCTTCGGCACGTTCTCTCGGCTATTGGTTTGCGAACGTACCTCGGAGCTCAGCCTTCAGTTGCTCCCAGGAGGTGATTGACGCTTCGTGGTTTTCAAACCAATTTCGTGTTGTGACCTCCAAAACTAAATACACTTTTTGAAGGCGCTGCTCCGGCGTCCATCCGTTATGGCGGGCCACTCGGTCGTAATGTTGCACCCAATCTTCTATGCCCTCATGGGCTTTGCGGTAAAAGGGCGTCGGAGCGCGGGGAGCGCCGGGCAGGTACACGACGGCGGCGGCCGGGGTCCGTGCCTAGTTGGCCATCGTCGTCTTCTTCAGCTTGGGCTTGTCCGGTAGAAGACCCAATTCAGGGGACTGACCTCTGATACGAAGGCTTCTTCGGGCTTCGGTACCTTCTGGGGCTGAGCACGTCGCGTGGCCGGGTTGTCTTCAGAGGGGTACGCTCAACGGGCATAGAATGCTGTTGAGCGTACCCCGCACCAAAATGTTAGGAATGACAATTGATGAAGCGATAATAAATGAAGAAACTAAACGTTTAATGGGGTAAACTTGTACCCAAAACAAAAAGGGAACAGACGAAAACAGCAGAGCGTCGCGGGCATCGACGTCGGCAAAACCGTAGGATCGAGCGCTGGGGTGAGAATGGCTCCGGCATGCCACGTGGAGCCCCTTTTGTAAACGCGTGGGCTTCTGGAACATTCGGCCTAGAACGTTCGGCTTGTAGAAGATTCGTAAGCGGATCGGACGAGAAGGTTCTCGAAGTTGCGAGAACGCCATGTAGAAAGAATAAATAAATTAGATTCCGGTCCCTGGAATCAAACCTGGATCCTTCACGGGACAGATAAGCACGCTAACCACTCGGCCACGCACGCCCTCGCTCGGCAACGCGCGTGGCAATATAAAGGCGAACGGCAGACCGTCGACCGGTGCGTGCTATCAGCGACATGACGCGGCTGCCGTGGCGGCTCGCTTTCTTATCGCTCACTTCGCCGAGATTAAGCGCTTAGATGGAGCGCTGTTCTCATCTCTGATGCTACGCCCCTGTTAAAGCGTGGAAGTGAGTTTCGATCTCGGCACTGCTTTTTGTGGGCGCCGTGCCCCCGTCATTGTCAGCAAATGATTTGCACATTGAACGTGAACTAGAGCGAACGTTCTTCGGCATGGTTTATCAGTGACCCAACCGCTTTTTTCATTCATGAGTGAACGCTAATAACTGCGAACGATAACAACGGTTCCTTTTTAAGAAGCGGAAAGGATAAGTTACTCTTTGATTTGTTCCACAGCTTTCCGATTTAGCACATATCACAACAACAACAAAAATTACTAAATCACATTGTTTACCGATACCGCATGAAAGGCTCCTCCCGCAATCCTCGCGCTTTCTGCGGGGAGTAGCAGTAGAGCTGAGAACAGCGCTCGATCCAAGAGCTTAATCTCGGCGAAGAGCGCGATAGGAAAGCGAGCAGCCATTGGAGCCGCGTCTTTGCGCTGATAGCACGGACCGGTCCACGGTCCGGCGTTCACCTTCATATCGCCTGCGGGTGTACGCTGGAAGCGTGTTTGCTTCACACATATCTGTGTTTTGAAGATGTCTGCAGCCATTTTTTTTTTCTTTATTATGATCAATGTGAGAGGGGTGTTGTATATACAACCCTTACGCCTGAGACAGTGTCCGTACACTGTTTTGATGTCTAAGCAAGGCGACTGTGGCTTTTGTCCTAATGACGGTCGCTTTCAAGGTCGAACCCGGATCTATACCTATGATATCTTTTTTTTTTCGTCTCGAATATTCTACTTTCCTCGTTTTTTTTTTGTTTTTTTTACCATTTTTACAACCCTTGGGCGTCACAAGTCTAAATGTGAAATAATTTTTTGTTTTCTTCTAGGCAGCGGCACCCTATTTGACCTCGAAGATGTGATTTACCAAATCCTTCTGCGAAAATGCCCGTACAATGAAAGGCTGGTAACTTTTGATGTCACTGGAGATAACAAAACCCGGGGTCCCCGTTACACCCTCGATTCGTACGTTATGCTACTCTTTGTCCCGAAAATAATATATTATAGAACAAACTAAGGTCACTTTAAATTGAAAGTACTGGTGTAACAAGTTTCAACACCAAAGTACAGGTCGCGATCTATGACTGCTAAAAATGCGTTTCAAATATACTGGTACACGTACTTGTTTGTGCTGTCATATTCTTACGTATGCACGTAATGCCGAAAAACAATAAGAAAATTAAGCGCAAAAAAACGGCTTTAGTTATTCGCATCCGTTAGTAGACGTGTTGTTACTTCGCTAAGGTGAATCGAAGTAAAACACGCTTACCGCTGGTGACATCGTTGATGTTAGAAGAGCAACGCAAGTAACAAAATGTGGCGCCCCGAAAGAAGTGACAACTGCCCAGAATTCTTGAAATTCGCCTCCTTTCTTCGCCTTTCCTTGAATAACCACTTACATTTGTGTCATGTTTTTTGCACAAAATGTTACTTTTTTGATCATTTGAATATTCCAAATCACGACACCATTCAATAATTATGCGTAGCGTTTATGAAGAAGTTTGTTACTTTTAACTAAAACCTACCCCAAAAATGTGGCTCTACGCTCTACAAAAATCAAATCGTAAAAGCACTTTTAGGCGATCTTCGGCTGGTCTATATTTAGCTTCCTGAAAAGTTATTTTAAGCACCTCCTGAAGGAGTTTTTTGGTGAAAAACTTATGAGGGGTCATTAGCTTCCTCTTTTGATGCAAAAAAGTTCTTCCGTCGCCAGAGTGCAATATAGTTTGAGACTAAACTTTCTTCACGAGCTGAAAGAGTTCTTGGGCGTCGAAGGACTTTTCAAGACCATATTTTTGTTTAGAGCGTATTGCGTGGACTACTCAAGGACGCCGTCGGATCATTTGGACTGTCCTTGCAACATGTACATACAAACAAAACCCTAGAAAGCATTATGCTAATTGACAAACTAAAGGATAACTCTGGTCGAAAACGAAAGCCAAATAAATGACTGGTATCGCTTTAATGGCATGAAATATGATCACACTTGGAATATTACCTCCAAATGAAGCCGTGTACTCTACTGAAATCGATTTTAAAGATGCGACCAGCTGCTCTTTAGCGGGCGGCGAGCGCGTTAGCTTTTAGTCGATGTCACAAATTCAGGCTTTTCTTGATTTTGTTTTTCATTTTTATGATCTTCTTTTCGGACCACTTTAAGTGTCGGTACGGTCCGGGAACGGGGAGTGCCGGGCCGCTTTTAATCTCCAGTTCGTCCCGTCGTATTATCCTTTCTACGTCCCCAACGGGTTTGCTCGTTTTCGGGGTAGGTACTTGTGGACGGGCGACTCAGATTAGGCTTCACCCCGGGGCAAAGTTAATTTGTGTCTTGGCCTTCGCGGACGGAGGGGTGCGTTTGCGGACTCTGGTGCCGATTTGACACGCGAAGGCGACGCCGGGATACAAAGATGTCTAAGCTGGCTGGCGCGCCTTTTGAAGGCGGCGACTTTCTTCAGTCTGGCGCCTGTCGTGTTGTCGGGTTCTACGTATCGACGATAATTGATGTTTTGGACTCGTACGGGGGAAATGGATGGCCTGTATGTTTTCCCATTTGGGTCGGCGCCGGATACCTTTGCTTTTCTGGGAAGTGGACTGACCCGAAAGGCGGGAAAACGGGAGGTTGGTCGGTAGTCGAACCTATAAAAAGGGGTTCTGGAACAAAGGAAGTAGTGGAGCCCCGGAGCTGGCCGGGGTGCTGCTCGACGCAGTCACTCCCTGCACGTGAGTTTTTGAACGTTTAATTTTTCGGCTTCTGCCCTGCCTGTCGGGCAAGTGTTTGAGTTGGTTGTGCTGAAGCGTGCGTGGCTGTGTGGTGCGCGGTGTCGACCTCATCAAGCTTCTAACCGGACCGCCTGACTCCGAGACATCGTTCTTCGGCCGACATCTCCAGACAACGGACTGCTCTGGACTCAGCACCTACCGGAAAGCTAAGCTGTTTTTTGTTTGTTTTGTCTACTTCATCCTCCGGCTCTGAAGTACGAACTGTTGAACTTTGGGACATTTTTATACGTAGCGCTACTTTCTGTCGCGACTGTTTTGGGGGATTGTCCCTTTTGGGTAGCGGTAACGTTCGAGTTCCGTCTCGGTTTGCCCTTGTTTTTGGTTAGTGTTGGGATTTCGTCGCGGTTTTGTCGGCTCGATCCTGTTTTACGAGTGTCGTGACTTTTTTAGTATTAGTTTCTGGCCCGCGGGACCCCATTGCGTTTAACTGGAGCGAGGTTTGTGTAGAGTGCTCTTTTGCCGTCCGCGGCGTAGTATTTCACTTTATTAAATTTTTAATCTTTTGTTTGCTTATCCTCCCTGTGTCATCGTCTCTCTTTCCTGATTTTACACCTGGCGTGGACCTAGCGCTAGTCACCGGTCGAACTTAGCTCTTTTGTTCTTTTTCCGTAATTTCTCGTTTATCCTCAGAGTGGATCATTGCTTTATTTTTATTAATTTAACCACCCACTCCGTGACAGTCGAGCAACACTGGATGAGCACCCTCGTAATGTCACGTCGCGGTGGACCTGCGGTCGCTTCGTTGTACTACGTATCGTAGCATCCTTAAGACGTCACGTCGCGTCCGTAGGGCTCATGATCAGTGTAGCCAACCCTCCAGCAGACAGTTTAGGTTTCGTCCTACACGCCCAAAACTAAACTTAGGGCCCCTGTGATATTTATAAAACTACACACAATATCGAGAACGAGAAAATTATGCCTCCTGATTCAAGGACACTGCTTCAGATGAAAACAGTCGTAATCCCATGTTCAAGAATACAACCCGGAGTTGACCTTTAGAAAATGCAAGGAATGTCGAGTCCCGCGAATCTCATTATCCCCCGTCAGCCAATGCGATCGCTGCATTATACCAATAAGAATGCCGAAGGACCAATCAGAACGCAAGAGGCGTAAACGTAATAAGTCGCGCTTTAAGCTGGCATCGACCATGCGGGTCGAAACCCGAGGGAGAGGCGGAGACCAAAGAGCGCGGGGAGTTCAGATGCCTGAGTTGGAACGATGTGTGGGTACAACCTGCAAGAAAATCCGTTCTGAAAAGGAGTCTTCTACGCCCCAAAAACTCCCAGCTCCTGAACAGCGGTTTCGCGTGGAGCACTATCGAACCCTGGCGCAGCAGCAAGGTAACTTGGGAATTTAAAAACTCTTTTGCATTAAAAAGGAGCTTAAAAAAAACTTACAGGTTATTACCGAAGAACCCTTTACATGGGTGCGTAAAGAGATTTTTTATGGTTCAAAATATGGGCAAGCCAAGGAACCCCTAAGTTTTTTTTGTTTTTTTTTTTTTTTGTATTTTTCATGACCAGGACTTCTTTTAAAGTGGTCGCAAGGTCGGATGCTTTTGTCTCCACTATAATCGTTAAAGGCGTTCAAACGCGAACGCCAAACGCCGGACGCCGACGTTCCGCTTTTTAACGCGTTCTACGGGTGCAGTGGAGTCAAAGGCTGCTTGCTTCGCGTCTACCCACTATTCCTTCCAATCAGAGTTCTCGCCGTTCTGATTTCCCCGCGCCCTTTCGTCTCCTCCTCTCCTCCCCTTTTCGCCCGCATAAATGCAAACCTGAAACGCAGATCGTTTTTTTTTTTTTTTGTCAGTTGAACATGCGGGATAAGCTTGGACGAGCAGGGCTGCAGCCAGCGCTGTAAGGCGATGGATCAAGCAGCGTCAAAACCGCATCGTCACGCGCGTCTCTGTGCGTTTCCTGTCGTCGGCTCGACCAGTCGCGCGCAGTGTAATGCGGCGTGATCCTGCGCTTTCTTCCGTGCCTGATCGGTGTATCCGGGGAAACACAACGACGACGAGGGCTGGTTCACTTGTGGCGCCGCTTGATCAGCACCTTCTAGACAGCTTTCAAGCCTGCGCGTCAGGTAACATGACGTCACATCCCGGAGGCCTGCACGGGCGCTGATTGGATGCGAGTGCCGCGTCAGCGTTCGCGCGGCACTATAATAGGGAACGAGTCTTACGGGAACGCTGACGCAGCACTCGCATCCAATCAGCGGCCGCGCAGGCCTCCGGGACGTGACGTTATGTCACGTGACGCGCAGGCTTGAAAGCTGCTTAAGATGTCCTGGCTTGGTCGACCCCATCGGCCTGCATAGCGTTGACTGCGCTCGGTCTTGGGGCGCAATCTCGAAGGTGATTGAGCTGCATTTGCGAGGCGTTTGCGGATGTGGTTCGCGAGCGACCCCCGTTCAAACACACCGAGGAGCAGTTGGCGGTTTCTAGGCGACCACGCGTGAATCTTTCCACACCTGTGCTTGGCAACCTTTGTCTCCGACTAAAAATCTAGCTTAATCTATGATCCACAGCGAAAATTTTCCTATTTATTACAAAATAACTTCTTTTCTCTCTCTCTCTTTCTTTTTCTTTCTGGAGTACGCAGTATAAATGCTGGCAAAAAAAGAAAAAAAAAAAAAAAAAAAGATCACGGGTCGGCGAAACCACGCCGGCGATTTCCCCCGTGCTTGCCTGCTAGCAAAGCCCAGTTAGGCACGCCTTGCTCCTCCCGGTTGAGGAGAGAAGGATGCTTATACTCCAAGTAGCTTGAAAAAATATATCTATAGCTATATATATTTTTTTTTCTTACGATGTAGCGACATAGTTTTAAGAAAAGAAACGTTTGCCGTGCTGTCGTTACTTTGCGGTGAAGTAACGCGCAACGGTATATCGTTACTTGTGAAAGGGAACGCGTACGACAGAAGTACCCTACGTAGTTCTCGCCCCAGCTCGCGCCTGTGGTTTGCGTGACGAGGAAGAGCTAGATAGGCCATATAAAACATCTGCACAAGGCCTTTCTGTATAGCCCAAATCATCCCCGAACGAACGCGTTATAAGGCGGGCAATTGTTAACGGCAACAAGTACTGGAAGCGGCTGCTGCTTCACAAAACGACACATTAAAGGGACACTCAAGCGGTTTTTGGAGCAGCTACTTTTTGGTGCGATGGTGTTAAGGAAGTGTCAGTG